TACACCAGCTAACGAGCCGGTGACGATGATTACTGTGTCACCCGCTGAAATGAATCTCTGCTCCTTGGCATATGCCACGGCCGCGTTTATTCGAAGATCCATGTCCTCAGACCAGTCCTCTAGTTGTGGGCCTAACAGAGGCAATGGGAAAGACCGAGGATGAGTAAGGGGAAATAATTTAAGGAGATAACGACAACTGAAACACTGATGCGAATGCAAAATAATAGGTAGCTGAAGAAGTTGGGTTTGTACAAAATTGAAGAATATGGAAACTGCGGGCGGTGAACCAAATTAAACAAAACAAATCACCACAACTGGAGTTTAACTGCCTCCGCGTCAACTTATTCTTAACGAAATAATAACAAGAAAGTGCTGATGCCGAAATGGCGGCACGGATCTTGAAGAACCTGTGGGAAGATATAAAACGAATAATGTTTGTGCTTGAGAAATACCATTCAGTCTCCGAACAAAATAAATGTCTCGAGGATGCGATACGCGGTGGACATTCAACCAATTACTCGGGTGAAATGATTGCTCAACTGGTCAGACAGGCAGGCACGAAAGATTTGACTGAAGGACTATAACACCCGGAACAAACGGAAGGAGTTAGCGGTAGGATTCACCATAAACCCTGAGACATTTTGCTGATGTCCCCGACAATAAACCGAAGATATTTTTTTCGTTTTCGAGTCCACATTTGGCACACCTTCGGCAGCTTCTGAGTTGATCTGGGGCGGTGAACTCTGGATCTCACCAGCACAGCAGGATCATTAACATCCACAATACAGGGTTCTGCAGTAGGATCGACTACATGAAACCCCAATACACACAGATTGAATATACAGAACAGACGACAGTAGGCTACTAGTAACTAGTGATATTCGTGTGTTCGCCTGAGCGATAGGAACAGACCCACATATTCTCGAAGGCAGCATTAATTATTTCTTGCCACGAGTTGTGCTGTAAGCAAACTTAAAGGAGGATCACGAATGAGAACAACTTAGTAATTATGTGAATGAGACTTACACAGTAGACACCTTACGTGGGGATCAGTCGTGGTCCCTGAAACTCACCGTAACGACAGCAGAAAACACGTGTGGACTTCTGCTAGGCGGTTACCTCGGGTCTTTTCCGGTGTTTCACTTCATTCATCGCATTAGGACTTACGTTGGGAGGTCGTGTACTCGGGCGACGGCGTCCTCAAACTGCACAACAGGCGGGTGGGGGCGGTTTTTTCCTTTCAGAGGCCGAGTAAACATGCCTTTACTGCAGTCCTCTCTGATGCGGGTGGTTTACTTAACCGACTCACCTTCCGAACCCGATACAGCCTGCGGGCGTTGCCGGTAACTGAGGCGCTCTAGACGATCATTGTGGTCACACACGCGCGCGACGAGCGATCGTATGAAACAAGTCCCGAAGCCGGTCCGTTTTACTCGTGATGTAATCTTTGTGACCACTCATTCATTGACTTCGCCTACCGCCTACGAAGCCGCTGGACAGTACGGTGCAATTCATGCAAGTCTTTTAAGCTGAAGACGTCTCAGTGATGGTTGATTGTCCGCCGTGGTAGTGGCAAAAACACTGGGAAGACCAGCATCGGAAATGTTTACATATTGTGCTCTTTCAACAAAATTTAGTCTAAGCTGCA